ACATTTTCTTCTCATTATAATTACAAAATCAGGTTGAGAAAAACTCGCAAAGTAGAAAAATCCTAACTAATTACAAAATATACATTACTTCCGACCCAGCTTTAGATTCGGGTATTAAACATACAAACTTTCCTTTTCAATCACTATACATATCTATTCCAAAAACGTGTCAAAATCCGTTGTGGAGTTAGGGATATGGGGACAGCGAAAGCGACTTTGTTTAAAACTATGTATTGATACATTTTTCAATTTTTTATATTAAAAGTACACAGGAATTGGCAACAAAAAATTTTGTTTTTCTTAAGTACATACAAAATGTTATGAATATCTATATGTTTAGTATACATCACTTGATTAAGAAAACACTTACTTTACATATTCATCATCTCATCTTCAAGGTTTTGCTTAAAATTAATAAAAACATTAAAATTGGGACAACCAAACCATATTAGTACAATACAAAACATAATAACTGTACAAAACAGAATCGGTCCTTCTATCCGCACAAAAAATACAAAGCAAATAAAGTCAATTCAATAAATAAAATTGCAAAATTGCCTCAAAATCTTCCTGAGATTGATATCTTCATCGCCCGTACCGTGGTCATTTTTTCAGTTATAATTGGCAGGTCCTGTGTTATAATAAAAAAGCTGGTACCTAAACAATCACGTGGCAAAAGATAGATTTATCAGTAACAGCATCGGCTACGAGCAACGGAAAAAATACTCCAAAAAATGTTAAAGGAATTGTGTCAAGTGTAGACAATTTGTGGTGTTCGGTTCTGTATGCCGATTGTTGGGTTATAAATAAATATAGCTATTGTAGCTAGTATATATAAATATGTAATATCATATACTACTGCCGAGCAAGAGCACTCATGTCCAGTGCTCAAGCGAAAGGAAAGTTAAATTTTCTGATTTTAATAAATAGTCACTAGTAGGAACCGTGATACGATATCTTTCGCATCAATTCTTAAGGCTAAGGGTTAATATCTTCTTTGGAAATAAATCTGCAACATTAAGTAATTTTACCAAAGTAGTATAAATAACATTTTCGAAACGACTTATTTGAAAAAAAAATATCGCGAAATCAAAACTTCTATAAAAATGTCTTCACTTCAGTTAAAAATACATTTTAATCATCAACCGCGATTGAACTTGGATTCACTCTGATAGCCCTCGGTCCTAAACCAACACTTAAAAAAGGACCTCAAGAAAATTCTTAACGAACTCCAAACCAGGCCCCGCCTGCGGCGAACCGAAGTACACTATCTGGCACTAAATATTGCACATCAATTTTCGGAAAGAGAAAATTTGATGTGTGTTTTATTTTTATTTACGCTTTCTTAAAAACAACAACAGAGAAACTGGACTAATTGCTGGATGCGACTTCTTACAGACAAACTATGGATAGAGTCAATCATCTCAAGTGTATTGTCATAATATTACATATACATAAATCATACGATTTTCAAAAGCGCCTGTATAAGGTTCAGTTTGAATAAATGTTTATCGACTTTGGCTTTGAATTAATGTTCAATAAATACTACGTATAGTAAATCAATATACGTATAAGTCTATCTTGTAAATGCTTGTGCAAAAGATTAAAGGAATAAAAAAATATAATATTTATATTATATATTATAATATTTATATTATATTTTTTTTATATTTATTTATTATATTTATTATTATTTATATTATATTATTATTTATATTATATTTTTTTAATATTTATTTATTAGGTATATTTATAATATTTATTATATTCTGTTTATTTTTTGTTTTTCATTCTTTTTATGACTCGAGGAGAAAACTCAGCTACTTTTAATGGCTTGTTATCATGAGCAGTATACTCGGCGACTGGACCGAATGTCTCATTCCAAATGTCGATGTGCAATATTTATCGCCGGGTACTGTACACATATTTTTGTACCAAGGTTACCTTTTCGCGAGCCGACTTCTACACACACATACAAACCGCACTTACTGTATACAGTATACATAGTATCGAACTGTATTTGTCTGTTGCGAAAAGAGCACTTTATTTAAGTATTAGTAAAGCAGCGATTCTTGTTAGATATTCACATTTATTTAATTCAGATTTTACACGATTGGCGCCGCACATGGACACCCACCCATGGCAAGAGAGGAGTGGCAAGTTACGTCGCCGTCTTTTTGGAGGTAATGAATTCGGGGATTTAGAGATTGTAGAGGAACGGAGGAAAGGAAAGGATTGGGTCTTTGGAAAACACAATGTTGTGGTTATTTCACGCTAGTTTTTATGAAGCCGTGGTATCACTCCGGTGGAGCTGGCCCATTGGTACCAAAGCTTAGTTCTCCAACACTTAACTAAGGAAATGTGTTGTGTACTTGATTTAAATAAACATGATATATTTTAATATATATATGATGATGATATATACGAGTATTTCTTGAAGGGTTAAACATTTTAACTCTATCCGCACTTTTCATATTGGTGGGCTTATCAGTAAAACCATAGAAATAAAAAAAAGAAGTTGTCCTTGTCAAAATGTGAAATACAAGCAAAGATTTATTGGCAATAACAATTAATAATGTAGGTAATCAATTAATATAAATAACAAGTTTTAATTGATTTCACTGGTCAAGTGACCATAAAATTGGGCAATGTGCTATAGCTATGAGCTCCTCGCGAGTCTGAAAGTAGTTGAGCTACAAAGGTTTCATTACACAAAATATTACAACCAGACAAAAAACAACGCACAACACACTATGTCTGTCTGTCTGTCTGTACGTCAGTTTAAGTTTCTCCGCCCCTCAGTTTACGATGCGGCAATCATATTCCACATAAAGTGTACCTCTATATTTACTGAACTACTTCTTCGAAATATATTTTATGTCATGCTAAAGCGATGTAGGCAATTTTATATTATTGATATGAAGGTTTCGAATATAAATTGTTTAACATTAGTTTTATGTTCCAGTGAATTGTAGTGATCGTATTGAGTACCTCATGTTTTTCACTTATGTACTTAAGTAGGTACCGTTCGGTTCAAACTGGTTCATTTGACATTCTGAATTTATTATTCGAATCAAAATATTCTTACCTTTGCTTATCTATGTACCTCTATAAACAAATACTAAACAGCGTTTTCCACGCTCCAATTTCAAATAAGTACATCTATACTAATATTATAAAGAGGTAAAATTTGTTAGTTTGTGAGTTTGTATGTAGGGAATAATCTTTGAAACCGCTGGTCGAATTTCCAAAATTCTTTCACTGATAGATAGCTACAATGTTCTTGAGTGCTATAGGCTATGAAACATCACGCTACGATTGAATGGAAGCGAGCATTGGGTTAATCCGCGCGAGAATAGCTAGTTACATATAAAAACAGATATTGGTTCAAAAGTTATACTGATAAAATTTTTGGGCTTATGATACTTTACAGGAAATCATGTCTTCATAAATATCGCATTTTTTCGCTTATCAAGGACCTCAAAGTCGCTATGTTCTGTAATAAGCCTTAAGTAAGTAAGCAATTCCGCTGTACACGCGACTCAAATTCTTAATAGTAAATACGTATATTATTTATGTTTCCGTCAAGCGTCATCTGAATGATATTTTTATTCGCGTCAACCAATCTTTTTATTGTAACCATAAATAAAGTTTGTGACATTCAGAGCTTGGGAGAAACGTGACCTTTGGAGCCTTATTTGTTGAAGAATATCTCCCTGATCTAAATGCTGGGTCATTGTTTGCAACTTTCTTCCGTTTGTGTAATCTTAAATGTCAATATTCGTAACGTTATCTGACTAGTTGTTTAGAGAAAATATGTAGCTCTCATGGTTACGTCAATTTTAACTGAATGCCTTACACTTTTTTTTAAATTACTGGCTTGTTTGCAACCCGCCAGTAATTAAAATAGAAAATAATTAAAAAGAAAATAGTTCTCACCACAGATATTTTTCAAAATCAGCAATCAAATACTTTACAATACATATAAAATAAGTCAAAAGAACACTTTATATCGCAAAACTTATAGTATTAGCTCAAAAATCAGCGCGTTGATGTCTTTTGCACGTAAAATAAGAAAGTGGAATTTGTGTTGTAAAACTTACATCCTCTATTCCATTTTGTGCTGCAACTCCACTCGAATACGTTTTTAAGTTATTCAACTTTCATGTTATTGTTTAAGGTACTTGTATCATTAAATAGCCATATTAAGTGAAACATTCACGTTAAAGCTATCACTACAATATTTTCTGAAGTTATGATAAAAAAAGGTTGTAAATAAATCCTCATTCAAAAACAGACTAAATTCAACTTTCAAATTGACCATTGGTTTCTTCAGTAGAACAAATCTCTTTTTCTATTTTTAAAAAAAACGTTGCCCCACACTATGATTTCCTCCTGTGTCGTGGCTGCGTTTACAAACATATAATTTCAGATGCAAATCACACCAAGACCTGGAACAACAATCCGTGGCTCACACAAAGAGTTGTCCCGTGCGGGATCCAAACCCGTGACACGTTGCACCGTCAACCGTGCAGTCAAAAATATCATGATACTGATTTAGACACGTCTCCCAGACGCAATATAAATAAAGAAATTCAAGCTTCCAGACTCTTTTCTTCTCTTTTTCATCACGAGATAACATAGAACACCCTGTATAATAGGAACATGGACAATCAGGTTCAAAACAAATATTAGTGGAGTTGACAAATATTTGTCCGGGTGTGGGAATCGAACTGACGATCCTGGGGATAGAAAATAAACACTCAGACACCGCACCATTTAGGCTGTCAAATATTAGATTTGTATTCTTACAGAATGACTACAGTTTCTATAAAACTGATATACTATCCTAATTATATTGAATAAATATAATTAGTATATAGAAACTTACCTAAACAAAAACTTTATGAAATCTTGTAATGTATTTCAATCATTGTATTTATTTTTGTTTAAGAACTTTGCGCATACCAACATATTTTGTGATTAATTTCCATAAAGTGCAGTGCAATGCGCGCTACAGAACAGTCGCGTTTTCGCTGCACGGTACGAATATTATATTCGCGTTTTGCGCGGCTTTAGCCGCTGCCCGTTTTAGTCGCGATGAGTTCTAAACCGCTCATCGCCAACGAAGTTTTGGCATTCATTAATCATGCCATCGATTATATGGATGAGGTCAGCATCGTGCAGATCTGCAGATCAGCCTACAAAGAGGATGAGGTTTGCAGTGCAAAGCTGCTACTCTTCAAGTCGCTCGGACAACTCGAGCAGATGCCATCCCGCCGAAGGGACGGTGGGGACAAGAGCCTGCAGGATATCATCTCCCTGCTGAAGAGGACAGATCCTGATGACGTGCCTGAGTTCGTGGCGAAAGACTTGCATAAGCTGCCTCCCGTCACGTTCGATCACGTCGATGTCACCAGGCTGTTGAAAGACATAACGTGTCTTAAGGCGAGCCTGGAAGATATGAAGTCCAAGATGGAAGCTTCACAGGTGACCATCAGTGACCTGCGTGGTGAAGTAGCGTTGTTGCGCAACGCTGTTTCTATAAGTGGGTCATTTGATGTAATTAATGTGAATACTCGTCGCGGTGCGCAAAACGCGTCTGTCATCAGTTTCGAGTCGGCGAATTCGAGTGCGTCACCGGTCGCCGATGTAGCTGACGATGCACCCCGCCCCGCCGCCGCCGCCGCTGCTGTGTCAACACCTGCGGCCGAACCTTGCGTAGGAACATCGACCCCCAAACGCGCCTACGCAGCAGTTGCAGCCACCAACAAGCCCGCTGTGACGCAAACAAAGCGGGCCAAAGCAAAAGGGGGTAAACAAACCCGTGGCACATCACAGCCACAGACTAGTCCTAAGAAGGACACGTGCGACAAGGATGGCTTCAAAAAGGTAGAAAGGAGAAAAAAGAGGCCAACTTGTAGGAATAAGTGCGGAACTGCACTAACTGGACCAAACATCCTGCTGCGTCCTGCAGTACCAACGACGCAGTTGTACGTGTCCCGTCTACATCACACCACGACGGTGGAGCAGATCGTGGAGTATGTCCGATCCAAGACCAACTGGACCTTGAAGGTGGCGAAGTTGGAGTCGCGCCACAATACGAACTTTAATTCGTTCATGGTGCGAGTTCCAACTCATCACTTGGAGACATTCCTCAAGGAAGAGTTTTGGCCGAAGGGTGTCGTATATCGGAGGTTCCGAGGATGGCTACGCGACACCACGCAGCGTAACACGACGCCGACACTACGTGTGCATTAGTTTTTAAGTTATCTATGTAACATATGTATTAGTTTATGATTTAATGTTATAATATATTTATGTATTGTATTCTCTATGGGCCGCAGATGCCTGACTTAAATAAATAAATAAAAAAAAAAAAAAAAATAAAAAAAATAAATATTTCGACCCAGAAACGTCTAATTCTATTATTCACAGGCGGATACGGTTTAGTCAGTTCAGAGTAGTAAGATGAAAGGGAATGAAAAGATTCCAAAAACACCTACATGAAAAGAGAATCGAATTGTGAACGTTATACTCGTACATAATAACAGTGATACTGGCAACCATTCGTTGACTACACGTCAATTAATTCTGAAATTTCTAAATACAAAAAAAAATAGTTTATACCTATATAAAATACTTTTGAAACAGTTTAGTCACGCAAACTGGTATACATGGAAAACTAAGTACACTCGCGAATTTTCAGTATGCTTTGAGTAAGATTAATGTTTTTGACTGCATTTACTACTAACATTTTTACTCATTGGACAGTGCTTTCAAATTGATATTTATTATTTAACGTATATACATGTATTCACATTTCTCATACTCACATTTTAACACTCTTAGTGAAATGTTGACTTTTGAATTAAAAACCTAGCTGATTAATACATATAAATTAATTGAATTGATTTTTATTTTGATGAATATTTTAATATTTTTAATTTCATGTTTTTATGAAACTCCATGATAAATTTTAATTTTATTATTCATATTAAAATGAAATTGAAAAAGTTAGAAACTGCGGCAACCCAAATCAGTCAAACCATCTCACTTAACCTATAATGTCGAATTCAGTTAAGAAGAATTTAAAACGCCATTAGGCAAAAAAATAATGTTCGTAATAACTCTAAATCAAAACAATAGGGTTACCGCCTACAAACAGTTCATAACATGGCACATTTGTCTTAGCACGTGCGAGTCGTGAATTTGACCCTAGATCCGTGGCACACGACAACCCTGTGGTACACAATTGTAAATTATTAGTCCATTTTGTGTCACAGAAATATTGTTTGTGTTATTTTCAGAGTTAATGTCTGAAAACCGTTTATTTTTTTACCGTTTTATTTTCACGATCTGTGAAATGTGAAAAATGAAATTTTTTGCTCAAATGAAGCGAAATATTTAGTTAACCATATACTTGAAACTTCCATATCCGATGAACATATGACTCATGGCTATTTTGCTGTTGAATCTATTTTGAAGACAGTGTAATTAGTTATAAACTTTATGACTGGACATTTGACGCGATGGCTAAGCAACCCACTGCTTGTTTAAAGTTGCGGGTGTAGAAAGGAACATGCGTTAAAAAAAAGTATTTTATTTGAAATTTTATCTTCGTAAACGTACCTACAACACAGGAGAAAATCTTAGTGTGAGGCAACGTTTTAAAAAGAGACACAGATATCATCAGCCTAAAAGTGTCCACTGCTGAGTAAAGACGTCTTATCATATGGAAAAGATATGATCATTAATTACCACGCAAGCCCTAACCCCTGAGCCACCATGACCTCTGATATGACTATTCATATGCAAGTAATATAGCAATAAGTACTCTTGTAACATGTAAGCAACAGCCCTACAAATAGGGTTACCCCCTGCAGTGCTAGTGACACGACACATTTGTCGTAGCACGTGCGTGTCGTGAGCGTGACCAGCATGACCCTAGATTTGTGACACACACGAACAGTCCCCAGCGATTTATGACACTGATCACAATTTCCACTGTCTGTGTTTCTGTCGCCAAAATAGACTAAAAGTTATCCCTTGGAATATGGAATGATAAAAAGAAACCGCAGCCCTACCTTAGGGTATTCTTCTGTTTCGTGAAAACGTTCATTAATTTATGAAATAGGAGGCAAACGAGCAGACGGATCACCTGATGGTAAGTGATCAGCGCCGCCCATGGACACGTGTAACCCTGGAAGGAAGAGGCCTTTTAAGAAGGAGTATTTTACATAAGCATTATACCTATATCCAGAACAAGAATTTCGTATGATACCTGTGTTATTTCGCGCAGGAATCTAACCCACGACATGTTGAATAGCAGCCAGTTTCTCAGCCATGGCGCGAGCCTTACAGTAACGTTGTAGCTATTGCAGTTATTTGAGGTAAGGAACAATAACAATAGCCTGTTATATTTTACATTTTGATCCATTATATAAATTGTAGAACCTGATAATAATGCCTAGCCCAAAACCATTACCGAAATTGTTGTAAGGCAACTGTTATTACTACCTGAAACAAGTTTGTAATTTGTCTCCCGATTTTCATTATATGCTTATCAGCATGAATGACTAGACACGTTTCTATAAAGCTAAAAGCTTATAAAACTTGTAACATGTTCGTGAATTAATTTTCTACCCAAATACTTTGGCAATCATTTAACTTTGTTGCAACTTGCAAGTCTTAAACTAATTTACATAATTATCAGCTTACATCAAATTCTATTTAGTAGTTCGGAGCACTTTAATTTTCAGCTCAAAACTTGGTCCTTAGTGTAATACGACTTCAAACACTCTAAATTCGTAGTCCCAATCTAATTGTAAACTAGCTTTGCTTTGCGGTTTTACATGCTTATTCCATTTCTAAGAAATTTACAAATCAAATTTCACATCTGCCAACTTGTTCAGGAGATTATTAGTATCAACGTTAGTTAGTCTTTAAACTTAATAAATTAAATTTATTAAAAGGGTTTGGTTTGGTTTACTAAAATAAAGTAAGTGGTTTGGAAAATAAAGTAAACCAAAAACAGGATTGAAATCGGATGACTACAAAACTGTTCTACTAATTTTAGATTACAAGTCAAAGGACCACTCTTTAACGACATCCACAAGGACCACGATTTATGTTCATGGTCCTTGTGGATGTCGATAAAGTGTGATACATAAATATAAAAATATTTTAACATATCTTGTCAGTTCTGTTTTTGCATTTGCAACATTACTGAGTATTGTTTTAAGTTTATACTCAGTGCCTGAACTTAGCGTTAAAAATATTTTAAAGATCCATTGTGATGTCTAAGAATTCACGTTACCATGCCATTGTTGTAGAATATTTCGTTTAAAATCTTCTGCTTGCCGCATACATACTTGTACTTTTATTAATACAGCTCACTAAAATAAAGTTGCATGCTTTTTCTTATTTTTCTTTTGAAATTTCTAATTTGATTATTGTTTTTTTTTGTCCTCAAAGTAAATCTCTGATGTGAAGAAACGTACCTTGTTGCTGGCCTTCAAAATTTGTCCCACATTTCACTGTCTAGCTTCCTTCCAAGCTCAAGTAACCATATCTGTATTTATTCAATAAAAAATCCACTTTATTACAAGACAATAAAGTTTCGAATTACTTGCTTGCTTAATATCTGTACTCTGAACAGCAAAAGTAACGGAAAAATTTAAAATCATAATCATTATGATATAGTCATTATATTTTATATCTTTGTTGCCAAGTCACGTGCCCGTGCTTGCATATTGGCGAACTAATTATCTGACTGAACATTTTAGTTACCATAAAGTTTTTATACGATTACTATAATCCAAGTTCAGAACAGGTTTAAACATTATAATATTATTATAAGCTATTTAAGCTATTTAAATATAAATGAGAGATGTTAATAATCTCCGAAGGGTTTAAACGATATTTGTCACAAATCGATATATATTTTGTTTATGTGATAGGATGATGGCAAATTAGCAATCAGTGCCACCTATTGACGGCAACAATGGAAGAGTTACGAGTGCGTTGCCGACGTTTTGAGAATTAGGATTTCGAGTAACCTCGCTCAAGCACAAGTGAGGTTGTTTCACGCCGATTCTGTGAGACCGTGGTATCACTCTGGTCGAGCCGACCTATGCGTACCGAAACATAAAAGATATTTATCACAATTATGCATATGAACGTAAGGTTTCGCGGTATCCCCGCACTGAATAACATACTAAATGTTATTCAGTGCCTAAAATTATTCTAGATCTGAATGAGATGTATAAGTGAATTTGTTTGTTTGTTAATAACCACTGTACAGGAAAAAAAACCCTTCTATAACACAGTCTTTAAAAACATAATCTGACCACATTATTATGATAATCACCACAACCTTTCACCGCAAAACAGCAGACAATAGACATACAACAAGATAGTTTTATATATTGATTGTGTTGTGGCGAACCATAGACAAACCGCAAACTTTTTGCTCACATGACCACAACTTTAATTTCGAAGACACTAACATTAATTATAGTAATTTATTTGAGTTGTTTTAATTAAATACTTGTATTATGGGCCAGGGACACCCACTTTTTACTACAAGGAGGTGGATAGCGTTTTGTAAATCGGGTAGGACGACTATTTGTTTCATCATGTCGTTTTAAAAAAGTAAGTTCCGTTAATATTATATATAAACTTCACTACTCACATAATTATTTTATGTAGCGGTTATAAATAATACTTTACTGAATTACGTAGTAATAAAATTTACTTTTTAATCAAATGTTGCTTGTTGTTCCACAGCCCAGCTAGGAGCAGAAGAAGGAAATATGTTTTTTGACAGTAACAGTCGACACTCAATCTTGCCCCAGCAATGTTACGAAAAGATTTTGTATGATTTTCTACTAAGTTCAAAAAATGACTAACTAAAACATTTTTTTGCTCTTAATATATAGGAGGAACGAAAGAGACACACGTATTAAATCTTACATTGAATTTTTTAGCGATAGCGATGTGGTACATGCAGACTGCAATAACGAATCATGCTATGAAACATATTACATTATACAAAAAATATGAACACTTATTTATTTATTGCTCCAACTTTCCAAACAGATACTTCAATTTGTTCAAAAAGTCTTGTAAAACTCAAAAACATTTTATTTCTATTCTAGTAAACTTGATTTGTTTTTTTAATAAACATAGATAATTAAATTACAAATCTTCACCATCTTCCTCTAAATAAAAACCACGAGAAACGAAAACTTTTTCTTAAGAACTAATTAAAATCGCGTTAGAAAATATGGCCACTCAATTA